AAAATCGCGTAGTAAAAATAACCCCGGTACCTCCGCAGAGATTAAATTAGTCCTTTGAAAGTTTAAAGCGCCAGGAATGAAATTGCATAAGAGCAAACTCGCATATGCAAATGTTTGCTTTTCACAAACAGCTTTTACCGATTCATCGATCTCGTTGGAGCAAATTCGCGTTAACGAAACATACATAATTGCAGAGATGACTGTATTTCTAATTTTTATTCAAAACCAGAGATGTAATAATTACGATTTAGCATAAGAATCAGTACGAGATACATTGTAAAACGTTATAAATAATAGTAAAATATATTTCTTTCATCTGGTGACTTTCTGGTTTCAAAATCGGCGTTATTCTGAATCGGCGCAAATCGAGGGCTACCTGTACAGCATAAAGAATTGCCGAGACTCTCAGGAACAGGGTTATGTTTGTACGTTTACATATGCTGGACCCCTTTCTGTTTTCGCCACACGACATTAAAATTATATAGTCTAAATGTGTACCTAGGTACATGTCTGCGCGGGCCGAACGCTCGGCCCGAGAAGCATTTGTCTCGAGCCCAAAATTTATCTTCAGATAAGTTACCCTTAAACCATCTAAACCGGGCTTCGTTTTATTCCAACCCGAGTGAAACTTGGTCTATTTAAAACCTACCCCGACTATCGTATCATTAAAATGTTTTCCTTTGGAGGCATAAAGGCTAGTAATCCTTGAATTATTTAATGGTGTTGTATACATAATATAAATCTAATATATACAAGTAATGGTTACGATAAACTATAGGTTACTAAAATTGTTGAAGAGCTCTTATGTGTCAAATGTCAGAAGCGAACCACGGTCAACAAAACACATTATTCTTTCATTGGTCAGTTATAACTTCTCGTTGCATTATAGTGTTTAGCATTGGGGTAGTTCAATGAATCTGCAGCAGTCACTAACTTCTTCGCACAATTGTACACCTCACTCTGCCAGTCCATTTTACTAGTACACTAGTACAGTGGTATTCAACCTTTTTTGTTCGCGTACCCCCGGATATAATTTCTCTTCAACTTTGTACTCCCAAAGTTGTTGGTGTATAATTCAAGTTATAGATAGTATATAATCTATATCTAAAATAAATTAAATAGATTACATTACTGATTATTCAGTGTTTATCATAAAATAATTTTTTTTTTAAATTTCACGTACCCCCTAAGATGTCTTCGCGTACCCCCAGATATAATTTCTCTTCAACTTTGTACCCCCAAAGTTGTTGGTGTATAATTCAAGTTATAAATAGTTTATAATCTACATCTAAAATAAATTAAATAAATTACATTACTGATTATTCAGTGTTTATCATAAAATAATATATATTTAAAATTTCACGTACCCCCTAAGATGTCTTCGCGTACCCCCAGATATAATTTCTCTTCAACTTTGTACCCCCAAAGTTGTTGGTGTATAATTCAAGTTATACATAGTATATAATCTACATCTAAAATTAATTAAATAAATTACATTACTGATTATTCAGTGTTTATCATAAAATAATTTTTTTTTTAAATTTCACGTACCCCCTAAGATGTCTTCGCGTACCCCAGGTTGAATACCACTGCATTAGTACATATAATCGCCCCAGAAGGAATCTCGTCTCTACGTGACAATCTATTTGAGTTCGACTCCTACTGTAAGCGAGCCAGGGTAACACCGAAATAGGCCGAAACAGACCACGTTCCTTCACAGAAGAAGTGTGGACGAGTACCAAGCTCGCTCGTCCGTATACTACACCGTTAATAAAATATTTATTGCGTTCCATATTAATGAGTGGAAATTTATTGTTCAGGTGTTGGAACTGATTTTATTACTCAATAATGAACACTGATGGCACAACAGAGGTGAGGACAAGTTTTTGAAATTCCATTTTCGTAAATTACAAGCTGTTTGCTTGTTTCAGGGTCGCACAGCTCGCCGCAAGATAGCAGTGTCAGTCACGGGGATGAAATTGATGCAACATCAGTGTCACTGGAACTGGGAAGAAAGTCAGCGGTTGCTGATGAAGTCATAATGAGTGGAGAAACGATAGCAACACACACACAAACTGTAAACGAATCGTTGAATCTCAATAAGGAATTTACGACACCTGAGTTAGTCCAGTCTTCTTCTTTTCCTGTAGATTTTACAGAAAATAAAACGGCGAAAGACAAGGTTGAAAATGACGGCACAGATTTATCGTCGTCAACACAACGACTAGCGAGATCGATAGACTCTAAAATATCGACATCTCAGATATTAGACAACTCGGCATCGACGTCCAACAAAAAGGAATCTTCATTGGAATCATCCGACAAGAACACTGATCATTCCTATGCAAACGAAGTGGATGCCAGCGTCGGTGCGAAAGCAGGGGAATACTACAGACATATTCAGCCAACGAAGACCATATCAGTCCAACAGAATAACAGAGCTGAGATAATTAGGACAACTTCGCTCGATGGGAGAGTATTTGAGGGACAGACACATTCGGGGGAAGAATATGGGGCTCCGCGGGGGAGATCGCTCCCCTTGTCGGGGCCCGAAACTCCGACAGTTTTTGCAGACGGAAGGAAGAGAATGAATGTATCTCACATGACGGAGGGATCGATGAAGACGGGGGCTGAGACACCGGGATTACCGCCCGCCTCGTTCCGGAGCAATTACGGCGAACGCAAGACGAATCCGGACATACAAGACATCATCACAGGCATAGTGAAGCTCCTGAATGGAAATGTGAAGGTACAGGCTAACCCTAACTTGCCACCAGGTGCCAGCAGAACGAGGATCAACAACCGCGGTCCGCCCAGAATAACAGACGTGCCTCCACTTCCACCAGATTTCGATACGTCAGGTCCCCATCCAGCACTCAGTCATCGCCCACCTCTGCTACTGCCTCTGCAAACTTCTTCCCGTCTTCCACCGCCATATCCTTTTGATCTTCCACCGGCAATCGTCCCACTTCCGCCCCAACCGTCAGAACATCACAGCCATCCCGATCACCCGTTCATGACTGGAGTTCCTCTCCCAGAGCAGGTTGTTCCGGCGCCAAACTCAAACGGCAACAGACCTCCAGCGAACCAGGGCATTGTTAGACCTCACAGACCGAGACCCCCGCGCCCCAGACCTTCAACAAAACCGAATATGAATAACAGAAGACCTCAACCGATACCACTGCCAGATATGGACCAACTGTTGCCAGCGTATACACCGGGGGCAAACAAAAACAAACAGCCCGAAGAAGGTCACGATATTTCTATAACAGTGACGGAAGATAAGGACAGTAAGGAACACCAATACACAACTCCCCAGGTCCCAGAGGAAGAAATCGTCACGACGACGACAGCCTCAAAATCACAACCATCTCCAGTCGACGTACCATCAAATATGAACGAGGAGGATCAGGTGTCTATCACAACAGAAGAGACAAGAGACGAATCCGAGGAAGACCAAGCTAACCATACCAGCGACATAGAAAAACCAGAATTTAACAGTTCAACAGAAGAACCGAAAATAATAGCAACTCTGACGTCATCTTCATCCACAGTAAATGAAGCAACACAAGATGGCTTCCCTTCACCACCTGAGTCAACGAAGAAGGAAGACACAGTCACGTTAGGCGGTCCATCATCCGGAGTACCAATTCTTGAGCCATCAGTAGGAGTGGGGGTTGCGACCCCGGTGTTAGAGTCATCCATGCAGGAGATTCTGATGCACGACTCGACAGCGTCGATTGAATGGGGGGGAGGCTCTCGGGTTGCTGGCACCGCAACGGCAACGCCGACTTCAGCTCTGCCGTCAAGCAAGTCGTCACTTCGTGAGGAGACAGTGTCAGGCATTAGCCATGCCCAGGACAAACTGAAACAGACTGCAGGTGAGTACAGAACACAGCAGCTTAAGAAAGCGTGGAGCTGTTTCTCCACTCAACCCTACGTCTTCAGGGCATGATGCATAGGGAGAACCTTACCGTATCGTATGTGAAATAATGGATCGACATGAAAGGGGCAACATTCATGTTAGTATAATGACATTCCTACAGGCTGACGATTTATATGTTTTCCATATTACGAGACAATAATTTTCAAATTGTTTCTGACCTAATAATTCTATGCTTCGACCTTTGATTGACACCTATATCGAAACTTTACTTAACAAACGGGCATAGCTAAAAGACGTTGAATTTTCGGAAAGTGGAAATAATTCTTCCGAAGTATTTTAATCTTCGAAGTCTTAAACGTTTCAAAATATTTTTCATGAGCAGTCGTGTCTCTTTATGAAACGCACTGATCAAAGATCAATACGTAGACTAATATTTTATAATTAATAAGACTAAACGTACTTTACTAAGTGTTTCCTGCTTACTGTATGTACAGAGTAAACACAAATGATCTGAACGGTTTTTTAATAATTATTTAACAACTAAACATACGCCATTAGAACGAAAACCTAATTTTTTTTAGTATGCGGGGGGCGTGACGCAACTCAAGCGATGTACACTGGGAGCGCAATTACTGACATGTCAGTAAAATGGCGACTCGACAGCAGAAAGCGAACTGAGTTCACACATGCAGGATTTGCATGCGGCTTCCTATGAAACCCCATTGAAAAGCTGTCACAGATTTTGTGGAATGGAATTCGAAAACACAAAACACTTCGGTTTGAGTCGCCATTTTACTGCCATGACAACAGTTGCGCTCCTAGTGGCGTTACGTCACTTCTCCCGCATGTCACACACAAATAGAAAAAAAAATTGAATTTCTCTTTCCAGTGTTCAAGTTTTAGCTAATAAGTCCTTTGAAAGGGTTACAAAGTTCAAATATCTGGGAACAACAATAACAAATCAAAATGACACTCATGAGGAAGTTAGGAGGAGATTAAATTCTGGAAATGCTTGCTACTTCTCAGTTCAAAATATTTTGTCTTCCCGTCTGATTTCTAAGAACCTGAAAATTAAAGTATACGAAACAATAATCTTGCCTGTTGTTTTGTATGGGTGCGAAACATGGTCTCTCACTCAGAGGGAGGAACACAGATTGCAGGTGTTTGAGAATCGGGTGTTGAGGAGGATATTTGGGCCTAGGAGAGAAGACGATGGGGCATGGAGAAAACTGCATAACGACGAACTTAAAAATCTGTACTCCTCCCCCAGTATTGTGAGGGTGATTAAGTCGAGAAGAATGAGATGGGCGGGACATGTAGCGCGCATGGATGGGACAAGAGGTGTGCACCGGGTACTGGTTGGGAAGCCTGAAGGGAAGAGACCGCTGGGGAGACCTAGACGTAGATGGGAGGATAATCTCAGGTGGGATCTATGGGAGATAGGAGTTGAAGGAGACTGGATTTTGGTGGCCCAGGACAGGGTCCGGTGGAGGGCTTTGGTTAATTCGGTGATGAACCTTCGGGTTCGATAAGCCACCTAGTTAGTTAGTTAGTTAGTGTTCAAGTTTAATTTCTGTATGCCACTTCTTGTTAAATGTATAAAACAGCTCACATAATTTGTGCTAACTCTCTCTCTACACACACACAAATTCCTTCTGTTGTTATCTCCACTGGCCAAACATCTGACGCTAACATACTTAAGTTACTTGGGTGATCGCCTTTGTCGCAGAGGTGCATTACATTTATCGCGATTTGTTGCTCGCGTGCCACGTGACTAATGTGTTGTTACGTGAACATACATGTAGAGAACGAGGAAGGAATGTGTTAGAGAGAAGAAGGAATGGGGGAGAAGGAAGAGAATGGACGAAGGATTTCAAATTTGGACGTCTGATAAGTGTTGAGAAGAATACTTCGATCTAAGCGTGATTAAGCAACAGAATAAGCATGTAGCATGCACGGGCATTGAAATGTTCGCAATAAAGCCTTACGTGAAACTAAAGAATTAATTTTGTAGTCTCTTTCTATCGATTACAGGTGGGTTTCCCTACTACCCTTATCGTTCTCGGACAGGAATTGTCCTAGACGACACAGAATACAAACCAATGGGTGTGTTGCACCGCCCCATCATCACAGCACCGCCTGCAGCGACAGGTCATGTGGGCGATATATTCGACATCACCGTGACAGCTGTTCAGGGACCCGGAGGTGCGAACACCGGTCAGCCTTTCATCTATCCGGGTGAGGATACAATTCTTACAATAGTTGGTCTTTGCCAAGGAACTAATTGACATCGAAGTAGCTAAAGCGATTTCACACTCACACTCCATACGTCTCTGAGGTTCACTTAGGTACTGTCCTCCCATGTTCCACCAGGTCTCCCTTTCTGTACTAAAATTAAAATTTTGAATGCATTTATCATGTTCGCATGTTTGGTACGTGCGGATCTTGAGTCCAGTGACAGGACTACTTTTAGTAAAATGTTCACACATTTTTAAAGTTATTCTGCATTTTATTACGATTTAAAATTATTTTTGTGTGATTACATTTTTAATGTACTGTAACGACCTATGTTAATTTGAAACTGGGGACCCCCTCCCCCCCAAACAGTTTTTAACAAATTGAAGGTGATTTTTGTGCTTGATTTGGTTTTCAGATTAAAAGACATAATACAGGTTAATCGAAAATTTACGCAGCCCATTCCTGACACATTTTATTTGCCAAAAAAATATGTTACAATTAAATCAGAAAAAAAAAAGTTTCATTTTTCCTCCTGTTTGATGCAACCAGCTGAACAGTTTTTGCAGTGACGTCTGGAATGCACAGCTCCGTATTTTATTTCAGTTCTTATAATGTGCGCGGTTGCTTTTGTACACTTTCTCCTTCACAACCCCCCAAATATAGAAATCCGATGGCGGAAATCGAGGGGACTGACCGAACGTTTCAAGAAAAAATGCGACGACCAAAGAACTCTCTCAATTTTCAGTACGCGTCTTAGCCCCATCTTGCTTAAAACAGCATACACGCCCGTTTTTTCTGAGCACTTTGCCACACAGGTGCAGTTTGAGAAGACGAAACTATGTGATTCTTGCAGTGGAGATTGATGGGGTACAACTACCAGGTTCTGCAGGCAGTGACGTGTCAGTCATTACTAAGGCAGAGGAGGGCCAGCATTTCGTGTCAATCGACGGGAAACGAACCTACATTAATCTGTTCGGCAGTAGCACAGAGCAAGAAGGTGTCGCCCCCACCAAGATACAACAGGGAGGACACACTCCACCACCACAGGAATCTGCATCTACAATTGGAACAGGGCAAGTACCCCATGGAGGCTGCAGGTCGTAACTATATACAGGGGCAGAGAGCTCAATGCGCGGCGATCTGGATGGTTTACACCCTCTGGGTTGAAAACGCGCTCTTGATTACAGGAGCACAGACGCTTTTGTCGAAAAGCACATTCCAGTCTAGTTTTAGTAAACGGAAGTTAGTAACACTGTGCATCTGAATATCAGAAGTCATTCTGAATAACTATCCCTAAGATACTAAAACATAAGTGATAAATTTATTTGCATTTCAAAAGAAACGCTGATAATGTGATCGAATCTATCGAAAACAAAAGCATTTTATGGATACTGAGAACGACCCGTTCTTCAAGTGCCTGAGCACTGCGGGTCCCAACTTTTCGTTGGCTCGATCTATAGCCATTCGGTAGGACTCATTGGACGAGGGATCGGCCCGTCGCAAGGCCTCTCTCTACCTGTACACAGGACAGCACAACACAGAAAAACATCCATGGCTTGAGTGGAATTTGAACCCACGGTCCCAGCGACCAAGTGGCACAAGACCCATGCCTCAGACCGCGCGGCACTGCGGAAGGCATCTAAGAACTGTCATTTACTCTCCAGAGGCTATCGAAAACTTTCTCAATTTCTTCTTCATTTGTGGTATTTTACTCTTCGTTCATCTTCATTCAGCCGAAGGGACGTGATAATTCCACCTAAACTTATTCAAAACTGCTGTAGAATGCAGTGTCATGTAATAAGTACCGTCACATAATGATCATTACTGCCACGTGTTATTGCTAGTTTCCATAGTGACATAATTTACAGAATTACTTCAAGTGCAGACAATGCAAATTTTGGATATATTTAATTTCATACATGAAATGGAAGTGGCCTAGTGTTCGAATAACTCAAGACCTAGTGTTGACTGCAAAGTGACTGTGGTATTGTTAAGAGACGTATTTCTTCCAACTGACTAGGTTTGCAGTTCTGGAAACAGAAGAGCCTGCATCCCACCATGGAGCTGATCAACAGCCCCCACGCAGGCCTTACAACAAACGACCGTCCCATCCTCCAGTCAGGTAATTATTATTTCTTCAGGATTTGACTGCGTCATCAAGGCAAACGGAATAAACAAAACTGGCAGCTCGAAGGCAGTTCACCGAGAGTGGCTTTAAAAAAAAAAAAGACTGTTTGGGGGGCCATCACATGGGTGGGGAATATCATAACTGCCTAGATTCACTCATTCCAAAATTTACAATAAATTTGACATTTCAAAAGTTTCCACGCAAGTAGACACAAATGTCAATTTCGCTGAAAAGCATTTCTGCCTTATTCAATTGAAATAAAGACCAGCATCACAAAAGTAATCATCTGGCGAGCATTTGAAACAGGAAGTTTATTCAAATTGTCACTTTTAGGAGCCACGCACAATGCGTAATTTGAGAACCGATTCCAGCTGCTCTAGTTTGATGTGCCTGCATTAACGGCATCCTTAAATACAAAATTACTTGTTTGAAAATACCTATAACCCGCACATGCTACCTGATATTAACCAGAATTCTCAGTAGCAAATTCTGGATTCTGCTTTGTTTCAAAAAGATGAATGTCCATGAGCAGGTCACGTTTACTTGATCACAACTTGGAATTAGGCCGACTCTGACCTGAACTGTTTGTACTTGAATAAATGTTTTCCGGTGAAAGTTACTTCACAGAAAAGGCAACATGAACCCTTGTACCATGCAAGGCAGAGTTCAGAAATACAAAATTTAGTCACAAGACCTGAAGCCGTCCACTAGGAACTAGGCAACCTCAGGATTTTCCCAAGGGGTTTGCACTATAAGGGCACCTCCCTACCCCTGGGGCTTCCAGCTTGCCTCAGCAGGGCTTTCCCCTTCCCAATTTATAACATTGATCAACTGTTTTTTTAAGGGCCTAATTATTTTGTCTGTGAAAAGGTAGCGGAAACATTCATCTTTGGTTGGCTGCATTTTTTGCATCAGTCAGCTGTTTCAAGGATGCTCTAAGGGCATGTTCTTTACAGGATAGACATGTGCACTGTTGGGGACGACTCCACTTGCGATTCGGCACAGAACGAAATGTGTCGGACAGAGCTGGGCGTCTCTTCGTGTCACTGCAGACCTGGGTACAGCCGCCGGAAGCACAGAGAGCCTTGCAGAAGTAAGTCACATGTATCTCTTATGCTTGTGTTTTCTGGCACTGCTCGTTTCTCCTCCAGAGTACTCAAAGTAGTTCGGTTAAGTAGCCTACATCTGATCCAGCAGAATCCCTACCCTATTTCACCCTGATGCTTTATTCTTCTCTCAATCCCCGCATTTAAATCACATTTGGAAACTTAGCGAACTGCAAAACAGGATCACAGAATCCATATTAGATTCTTTCATATATACTTCGTATTTAAGTGTTGACTGGATCTTGTGATTTAGGGGCATGCCCAAGAGACCAGATGGTCAAGTAAACACATCTCGTGTGGTTCCGCTCTGCTACCCTTTCACTTCACATATCTTAGGAATTCTCTGCAGATGTTTGGATTGCTATGAAGTTCATTATTTAATACTAAAAGAGAAACTACTTAGATCTTACAAACCTCCATTTTGTAAAGAACTAACCTCAATGTTACTAATTACTTGGGAGTTATTACAAATAAGAACATAAATCATCAGTGTTTTAATCCTACAAGCATAAGTTGTGGGGTGATGCCAGACGTGGAAAATTAATGTTGAAGGTTCTAGTAACCTTTTTAATTTAAGTCTGTAACTGCTTTAGAGAGCAGAAATGACACCTGAAGTAAGACAATGGACGTCACATTGATGGTCTGTTGAGGGAGTTCAAATGAGGGCATAATATTGTAAATACACATCCCTCAAATTACATATGTAATTTGTTTGTCGAAGATTTTTCTTAAATTGAATATTTGTAAATAAAAAATTAAATTCCTGTTAATTTCAATGTAAAAGACTTCTAGCGGTTCCTGTCGCCAAAATAAAATCACCCAATTTTTGTTCCCACATGTTACAATACTATATAATCATGAAAATAAGAACAGTATTACATTTTTTGAACCTATTTAACTCTGCAAATCACCACTGAAGTGTTAAATCAAACGTTTACACTGCATAGTACAGCTGTTACTGGAGTTGTACTATAAACATCAGAACTTACATAAACAACTGTCTTCATTAAAACTTTGTATGTAGAATAATCATAAAGAATCAACAATAAGAAATTAATTGGCTCTTCATTGTACAGAAAATAGTGTTCATAAATTTAGAAATTGATATAAATTTACAAGGTTTGTTAAAACGAAAATTATAAGTTCAGGGATAGGCATCTACGACAAGACGTGCTCTTATGAAGTCACAGCCATAGCGAAATTTACAATTTGTCTCTTCCCCAGTTTGTTAAAGTGCTTCTTCGACAATCAATCCTGCAGTGAGGTGCTTGGATTAGGCCAGTTAAATAAAATCAACCATAAATATCATAAAATAATTTTTCTGTAACTGGCATAATAAATCTAATCTAACCTAAAGGTAGAAATACTAATGTTATGAGCGAACACTACAAGCAGATGGAACTTCCATAATTTGTACTACATCAGTAAAAGTAAGTAAAATGTAAAGCTGTCCCACTATACACCATGTAGGCGCTTGGGGGGAGAGTTAATATAATTTCTACTCATTCTTGACCTCAGCACTAGATGGGGGTGAGAGGTCAGCGTCACGTCCCGGCCGAGCTTTACCCCCGGGATAGGAGGCTGGGTGGGCCACAGAATTGGTCTGGACACAGAGGCTAGAGGAAAAATCCTCTACCCCATCGGGGATCGAACCCCGGTCGTCCAGTCCGTACAAATGCTAAATATAATTTTCACTAATTCTTACTCTGACTAGCATTTATAATGACATGTCATCACAGTGGGTAATACCCAGAGACTATAGTTTCAGTAATATGCAATCATGTTGTACTTACCAAGATTGCTTAATGACGCTGGAGATAGATGTAATGCGACCCGTTTTACTGCAGGGTCGTGTTGTTTATTTCACTGATCACCACACGTGTAAACGTCTTTATGATATTCCTCACATTCAACCACTGTAAATCTACATTATCGGTTAGCACCGTACACTAATATATACGAACTGCTGCCAAGAACACAGACACTAAACTACAACCCCGTAAAGAACAACTGATAACACCGGCAATCTGCAAATTCCGCACGTACTGGTACTTAAATAGGAAGGGGTGCATCGTGAATGAACTCTTCCCCTGTCCGTTCTAAACTAACCAGTCGCCCCAATGACTTCGTATACCCTATCTTTACACGGTGTTTCACACAGTTTCTTATCTGAAAGCAAAGGAATAAGGTTTGTTATATTACGAGGCTGCATTCGAAAGTTGATCAATACTTAGCACGCCCTTGACCGTGACTGGAGTTAAAACATGACGTACGAGCCGCTCAGAACCACGTGGGTTATGAGCAGTGTGTGCTGAAACATTCCACGCCATCGGTGGATGGGAGCAAATTGCAAGTGGTCTTATTGGAGTTTTTTGGGGGCGGGAGGGAGGGGTAATGTTCATTATGGAGTAAATTTATTACACAATTACAAAAATTTTAGTCAATCACAAGGTTGCGGGCGAAGTTGAAATAGCCGTTGAAAAACTTCAACGTTATAAATCTAAAGTTCCGATTTAATTATAGCTAGATTAATCCACGCGGGTTGGAAGGATATTTATTGCATTCGGAGGTTTACAGACAAAAAATTCAATATGAAATACGAAAGAATTACCACACGAATGGAAAGCACAGTATTTACAGTTCAGCATAAGTAAGTTCAGAGTCACAGGGGACCTCAGTTATTTGACAGAATGCTGAAAAATGTAAAGAAGGAAAAATTTTTGCTGATCGTCTATTTCCAATCTCAAGCGTTGGAATTCTTTTCCTAGGACTAGACGTTGCGGTGCATGACCAATAGTAACAGCCCTGGAAATTTTATTCCGTCCCGGAGCACACACAATTTCCTCGTGCGTTCACTGCAACGCGCATTTAGAAGTCTGAATAGATGTATCGAAAACATTAACATCTTAAACAGGTCCTCAACAGTAGCCAACTTAACCTAACATGTGTCTTAACCCACGCTGACTAAACAGTTATCGTCATCGTTCCCATTGTACCGAGCGTAATCATGGTATCAATATCTTGTCACGCCCCAATTATGCTACCACATGAAAACTCAATTTAACCTATCCTTACTTGAATTAATCGAACATCTCACCAGCTCTACGAGTTCCAAACCAAAGTTCTAAAGACTTAAAAATTTCCAAAAATCCAACGTTTTCAAAATTGAAATTTTTAAAAAGTCCGAAGTTCCCAGCATTCAAATTTTTTTACATGTTCGTAATTTTAAAATTCCTCAAAATTACAAGATTAAAAAATTCAAACTACTGAATTTAAAAGATTAAAAATCACGACTTTTCCAAAACTTGCCAACACAATTTTAAAATTTTCAGTTTTCAAAATATAAAAAAATTCACACAATTCAAAGAAACATTTCTTTTCAGAATTCACACTTTCATAATTTTCAAATTTTCTGTTTTTCAAGATGGTGTTTATGTAATGTGGAAATGCTATGTTACCAAGTCTAACCATTATATGCTGCACTCATGATGGAGGGGAGGAATACGCAATTAAAATTCTGTGTGATATATATTTCCAATTGAAGGATAGAAATCTCATCCCATTCTTATTTTGGATATAGACAGGCATAAATGAAATTTAGTATTTTACCACCATTCTTTTAATATTATAATCAATGTCAGTACCTTCATCTGTAAGGCATAATATGGAAATATTCTACTGGAAACATAAAAACTGATTTTATTTTGTAATAATCCGTGGCATAACAGCCCTCTGAGAGCCAAAGCCGAGTAGCTGGCCGCTGGCCTCACGTTCACATACCTAAGCAGAGGTAAACGATCATCCAACCAGATATAGGGTGACGTGTGGTCAGCACGACGAACCCCCAGCCATTGCTAGCTTTCCTGACCGAATTACGCTACTCATCGTAGCTCCCCAATTTCTCACGATGCTGGGTTGGCACTGGTCGAAAGCTCATGAGAAAATTTCTTCTCCCCCGAGACTCGAACCAGCACGCATTCCGTATCACCGGTCCGAAGCACGATGCCTCAGACCGTGCGAGACTTATTTTGTAAGAAATAGTTTATTTCTTTTTTACTTGACCAGTTGGAATAATCATGACTATAAATGGCTTTGATTGATATAAGCGGACTATATTTAAGCAGGTAAATGCATTTTAAATTGATCCATGGCATTTTTATTTGTAGGAGTGGTATCCATACTGATGTCACTACGAGTGGACCGTCTCTATGACAGGAGGGTTGTGTGGGATGGAAAACTACAGAACCCAGAATCAGAAGAATACAAGACACTGGAATGGGAGTCTAGTCGAGCAGTAAGTATTGGGTACAGAAGTACTGGAGCTAGAAATTAACACGATGTCAGTATTATCACAACTCATACACACCTAAATAGGTAACAAATAAGTAATGGGCCAGCCCATGTAAACACAAATAATAAGTCATATTGGAAACAAAGTAATGGGTCATTTACAGGTAATGTGTCACATGAATAATGAGCATTATCCATGAGAATACTCGTAATGGGTCACATCAATGTAAATACATCCATAAAAGATGTCGTGGGTCTGTCCTTGAGACTTTGATAAATAATTTGATATGAACGAATTTGGTACAGCATGGTTTATTCTTGAACAGATATACAACCAGAATGGAATAGAAGGTAAAAAACAAAAGAAGGAGTAGAAAATGCCTCTAGGTCTTGGTAGAAGAGCCATTCTCAACACTCTCCTAACCAAATCACATCGAGAGACATAGATAAAATGTCTATGGAAACATATAGCTATTTAAAGAGTCACATTCATGGGAACATATAAATAATGATTGGTAAACAGTGGGAAATATGAAAACACAAAAAGAAGCAGTCATTTTCATTGCAGCAGTAAATCACAATTTGTCATATCCATGGAACAGATGCATACTAGGTCATATCTATGGAAAAACATACCGAGCCATATCCACGGAACACTTCATTTCCATGAATACGCATACATAACGGATCATATCTGTGGGAAACGAAACTTACACAATACTGCAGCCTTGATAAGAATGTAGACAAGAACCCCTTTCCGTTATTTTCAATTCTTCATCTGCCATTCTGACTGGCCTAAATTAAAATGAATGTCATGAACAAAACTTCATTTACTGAGTTTTCAACCCACGGTTTAATTTTGCCATGAGTGAGTAACCTTGCAATCCCATACACACTGGACGTCTTGCTAAGAAGCAGTAGCCAATCTCATGTGACCTTATTTTGTGTTTGGGATGGTCAGCAATTTTTACTCAAAAAAGTTTTAAGTTTTTGTTAACCATTTTCATGATGATTTAAAGAAAGGCTATTCTATTAGTAAATTTCCATGGTAAAATGTATCTGTTGTTGAAAAACCAGGAACAGTTAGCTTTCAGCAGCGAGAGATTTTTCTTTTGCTGACTGCTTCTAAGCAAGACGTCCAGTGTGTATCGGATTGCAACGTTACTCACAGAGTTTTATTATCTGAAGTAATCAACAGAGCGTTCAATTTAAACATGCTCACCTATTTCATTGCCAGATTGATTCTGCGATGCAAATGACACCGTTTTCGGATGACTTCATGGGTGTGCGTGTCAATGGCCTGTACACTGTACCAGGAGGGGCAGACATTGGTGGTGCCAAACGTGGAGCAGTTTTTGTTAACCTGACATTGCAGTTAGAGGAGACTGTGGAGACTCTTAGGCCAGCTGTACGACATGACATACAGCGCCATTTGCTGGGAGTTATCCACAGGAGAAACAATAATGTGGGTCACAGTGCGCTGTGGGTCGATAGTCCACCTGGCTCCATATCACACCTGCAAGGTAATACACATTGTTAAATGCAGATGGGATGCTGTCTACTCTGAGCAGTTGCTTCTGTTTTTATAATGGATTAATACTCATAGGAAATGTGTAAAGCATTCTATGAATGTCTTATCAAGGATCTTAACATTTCTGTAATAGTTTTTAATTTCTCATGAAAAACAAATTTAGTACCGTGATTATATGTCTGCAATTGTGAATTACTGCACCACAGCTGCTACTTCACACCTGATGGAGGGAAGTTTATGAATTCTTCCAGTACTCTGATGACTGACACAGCAGGCTTTATTAACTGTATTTTGTTGGTTTGTTCCTTTATATAGATGTGGATGAGTGTAGTAGTCGAGAACTCCACGACTGCCACCACCAAGCCCACTGCAGCAATGTGTTCGGTTCATTTCGCTGCTCTTGTCCTGAGGGCTATCGGGACCCATGGGCTGGGAATCCTCATCGCAGTGGTCGTCAATGTGAGACATGCTCGCCTGAGCACTGCAACAGTCGCGGGGAATGTCGTTATGAAGCAGGACTGCCAGTCTGCCAGTAAGTCTATTGAGTTAATGTATTACTTGTGTGTAGGAATTCAGTTTCAGAATTTTTATATGTACCTTGTACTTGCACATACTTTTCTCTTTTGCAAACTGGTACTCACATTTATGGAAATAGGTAAGGAAGCGTGTAACATTTTAAGATGACTGTCTTCTGGGTTCTTGCATCATATAGTCTGGTAGAAATTTACTGGAATTTCAGAGATGCTTACTGCCTCCATCATCAGAGTGATGAGTGTCATACTCACCACCGTGAGAATCTGAAAATCTCACCAATATAACATTCATTAATGTTGTAACAAATATCTGTTGTTTTTTCTCAGCTGTGGAAAAATGGCAACCACTTGAATATAGAATCCACATTTCAGAATAACAAACCTGTATTTGATATAGAGGCTCTCTAATATAGGTTTCAAACTATTTATGGACTGTGATTACTCAGCTAAAGATAAATACAATTTGTTCTGTTTACAGTTGCTCCGGTAACTTCTACGGCTCACAGTGTGAAGTGGATGGTGAAGTTCTTGGTGTGGCAGTGGGTGCTTCTGTAGCAGCAGTGATCATTATTGTATTAACATTAGTATGCCTCTGTATGTGGAGGTTAGTAAAGACAAAATTTCTGAGTTATAAATGTTTAACACCTAGAAATTGATGATACAGTCAGTTATTTGGGGTAAGACAGACAGATTCCTCTAGTTTGTAGACTGCAAATCAGGGTATGATAGATGTGCAGACTATGGACTAAAGGTTCTGTCTCCCATCTGTACCAGTTCTCATATCTCAGATATTATGCCACAATTTTGAAATGTAGATTCCAAGTCACTGAATGTCACAAATGTTTGAAAATTTGTGCCCCTCAAAGAGGTCTTCAGTTTTGGGAATAGCCAAGTCGCATGGGGCCAAATCTGGTGAATGATCAAATTTGAGTGTTGTTTTTTTTGGCCCCAAAACTACTGGACAGCGAGTGCATCATGAGCAGCATTTTTGCTGAAACCTTCCTCATTCAAAAATCTTCAGTAAAACTCTTCCTCACAGTTCCTCTGTTGTCATTTGTACACTTAATCACGTCAAAATAAACCAATTTCCCCACTTTCCATATTATCATATGTCTCATGAGTTTTCGGACATCCAGTTCTTTCGTTGTCTTTCATGTCTTCCTGACCCTCATCAAACCTTTTATGATATTCAAAGACAATTGACTTTTACATAGAATAAGCACCCTAAGCCTCTGTTACGCACAAAACTTGACATTAATGTGTAGCTCTAACAACCTATCACTCATTTTTCTGCCAGGACAAAAGCAGATGTTTGTGTAACTCTGCCATTGCTTCACTATGTACTGCTCGCTCGCTACTCGATGTGACATATATGCGGGCGTTCTGGGAACTTAATTGTCATACTTTGTAAATTCCAGAATTGTAGTCCAGATGGAGCCATATAGTATGGGAGTTTAAATCCTGTATTCCTGTATGGCAGAGGTTAGTTATATGTAAACTACTTGGTAAGAAATAATAACTTAAAGAAAGTGACCTAAACTGTTAATAACCATGGATTGATTATGACCCCATAAATGTACAACTATATTTTATCAGACAAAAGTACAACAAACCCATAGGCTTGTAAAATTTGGCCTCATGACAACAGTACAGGTGTTATAATAACGAGGTTACTCACACAGCTGTAATTAAATTTGTCAATAGCCGTCGATGGAGTAGGGAACAGAAGACTG